TAAACTTACCTTACATCACCCTGGCAGCTTTCAGCTTTCTCAACTACATAATGTACCAAATTACCTGCCTTTCCCATTTCGCAGGACGATTAAGAATATTAACTGAATAAATTGTGAGAAATCCTAACTTCTTCAAAGATATCATAACAGAAACTCAAGACAGAATCATATTTATAACTAAAGATTTAAGTGAAAAATCATGGTGGGTTCTGCTTAGGCAGGCAGAATAGCAGTCCAGATTCTCCAGGGCACCCTACCACGCACGGGAAAGTAAGAGAGTCTCCAAGAATTACCCCAACCCAAAAGGACAAACCATGGGAAGAACCAGCACTGGGGCCGTTGAACTCTAAGCAGGAGATCTGGGGCTTTGCTGAGGGCACATGGAGAGCTTCTGCCCACACTGTGATCTGGGACTGAAAGAAGGAGAGCCAAACCTGAGCCTTCAAAGAGTTACCAAGTCTCCTGTGCTCTAAGCAGAAGCAATAGAAACCCACTCTGAAGGATGCATCCTTGATTCAGACCCATAGGATTCACACAAATGCAAGTTAACAGCAACAACAACAAAATCGCCACTCATAGGAGGTCACACATAAGTGACAGTCAGCAGAACTGATACACAACAGATTAAGGATTCTCTAACACAGAATACGAACTTTTTTTTTTTTTCGAAAAATTTAAAGGAAAAGAGAAAAAAAAAGGACGCTCCTGGAGATTACTTACCAGTTATGATGGAGATAGAGTACCAGTACATTGGAGACATCCGGCAGATACCACCTTAATCAAGTACTCAAAGTTAAGTTCACCAGTAGTACAAACTGGCATCACACATGAGGTGGTTTTCTAAGGACATGACATCACCTTCATTGTATTCCTGACAAAAATACAGAATTGGAATTTAAACATGAGGAAACAGATAAGCCCAAATTAAGGGACATTCTACAAAATGACTGGCCTGCACACCCCCAAAATTTCCATGTCATAAAAGAAAGAAAAATAAAAAACCATTTCAGATTAAAGGAGACTGAAGAGATTTGACATCTGAATTTCTAGATTGAAAAAGAGTTGCCGCAAAGTATATTACTGAGACAATAGGAAGTGAAAATGTACAGTGTGATAGATTAAAAATGGCCTGAAATTCGTTGACATTCCTCTGGCTGAGAAATGGGTACATATTTCCCCTTCTTTTAAATCTGGGTTAGCCTATGACTGCTTTGACAAATGGAATAGAGTAGAAGTGAAGGAGTGTCAATTCTGAATCCAACCTTTATTTTTTTATTTATCTATTTTTTTTATTTTTTTAAGATTTTATTTATTTTTCAACACAGAGAGAGATAGCAAGAGAGGGAACACAAGCAGGGGGAGTGGGAGAGGGATAAGCAGGCCTCCCGCCGAGCAGGGAGCCCCATGTGGGACTCAATCCCAGGACCCCAGGATCATGACCTGAGCCAAAGGCAGATGCCCAACAACTGAGCCACCCAGGTGCCCTATTTTTTTATTATTTTTTTTCTGAGCCCAACCTTTAAAAGGCAATTTCTGGGAGCATCTGGGTGGCTCAGTTGGTTAAGTGTCTGACTCTTGATTTTGGCTCAGGTCATGATTGCAGTGTCATGAGATTGAGCCCTGCTTCAGACTCCACACTGAGGGTGGAGTCTGCTTGAGATTCTCTCTCTCTCTCTCTCCCTCTGCCCCACCCCTGTGCTCTTTCTCTCTCTCTCTCTCTCAAAATAAATATATAAAATCTTTAAAAAGAAAAGGCAATTTCTGCTTCTTCCACTATGTTTCTTGAATTTGATCATTGTATTATGGTTATATAGGAAAGTGACTTTATTCTTAAGAATTATTTAATGATTATCATGATGTCTGCAATTTCTCTCAAATGGTTCAGTTAAAGTCTGAGAGAGAATGAGAGAAAGCATGCATAAATGTGGCAAAATGTTAACAACTGATTAATCTAGATGAAGTGTATACAGGTGTTCCTTGAATAATTTTTACAACTTTTCTAAACCTTGACATTTTACCCTCAAAAAAGTGCAAATAAAAGAGAAAGGATTAAATATCAAAGAGGAAAAAAAAACAATGACTTGACTTCCTCTTTTGGCCAAGATGAACTAATAAGGACAAGATGTACCATCCCAACTAAAGTATCTAAAACAAAACAAAACAAAAAAATAGACAAAATATCTATAACAACAGTTTTCAAGATACTCTATATGAAGCAACAAAGGATAGTGATCTCTGAGAACTAAGAAACTAACAAGGTGAGTCCCATAATTGCCCCAGTTTGCTACTTTGAGAGCTTCCAAGCATGGCAGAAGGAAGAGAAAGCTGAGACAGAGGCTGGCAGATTACTCGAGTTGAGAAAACAGACCCTAGGGTCCAGAGACCAAAGCAGGTAGAGTTCACATGACAGAATAACAGAAAGAAGACATATGCACAGAGACAGAATACTGGACAGATCCACTGAGTTCTCCCTCAAGTATTTATGACCAATGTATGCATCTAAGGAGACTGTTCTAGGCCCAGGAAAGAACCATATAAGGATTAGAGGGGGGCGCCTGGGTGGCTCAGTTGGTTAAGCAACTGCCTTCGGCTCAGGTCATGATCCTGGAGTCCCAGGATCGAGTCCCACATCGGGCTCCCTGCTCAGCAGTGAGTCTGCTTCTCCCTCGGACCCTCCCCCTTCTCATGCTCTCTCTATCTCATTCTCTCTCTCAAATAAATAAATAAAAAATCTTTAAAAAAAAAAAAAGGATTAGAGGGAATGGTTCTTGTCATTCACATTGGTCTAGGAATAGTGCCTATTTCAATCAGCCAGACTGGAAAAACTCATAATTCACAAGGCACTGGGTAGAGTATTCAGGAAGATCTTGCCTCAGTAGTGGAGAAGTAGCCCTACAATGAGCACTGCTTCAGACCTACCTACTAAAAAGTAAAAACAAGATCCCAAAGGACCAAACTATATCCAAATAACTTAAGTATCTCCCAGAAAAAAAGCACAAGAAGATTTATAGAGCTATAAAAATAGTCAACACTGAACAAGGTAAGATTCACAATGTCTAGCATCCAAACAAAGATTACCAATTATACAAAGAGTCAAGGAAATACAACCAATGGGGGAGAATAATTAGTGACAAGCAACCCAGAACTGACACAGATGTTAGAATTAACAGAAAAGAACATTAAGACAGTTATTATAACTGTATTCCATATATTCAAAAAGTTAGAAACACAGAAAATATAAAGGAAGACCCAAATTAAACTTGTAGAAATGAAAAATAAAATGCATGACAATATCATATAGTCCAGAAAGAGATAAATGAAAGTATATATTGTAGGGTTCTTATATTATGTGTGAAATGGCATAAGATCACTTTAAGATACACTAAGATAGATTAAATATATCTATTATAAACAGTTAAGCAACCACTAACATAAAAAAATAAAGAATTATAAGTAATAAAGCAACAACAGAGATAAAATCAAATCAAAAAGAAACTTGATTAGTCCAAAAGAAGATAGAAAACCAGGAAAGTGAGAACAAATAACAGGCAGGACAAATAGAAAACAAATAGCAAAAGGATAAACTCAAATCTAACACCTTAATAATCAAAATAAATGTAAATGGTATAAACTGCCTGATTAAAAGGAATAGGTTGTCAGGTTAAATAAAAAAGCAAGCCCCAACTATATGCTGCCTACAAAAAAGTGCACTTTAAATATAAAGATAAGGGGAGGCTGGGTGGCTCAGTTGGTTGGGCAACTGCCTTCAGCTCAGGTCAAGATCCTGAAGTCCCAGGATAGAGTCGCACATCGGGCTCCCTGCTCAGCGGGGAGTCTGCTTCTCCCTCTGACCCTCCTCCCTCTCATGCTCTCTATCATTCTCTCTATATAAATAAACAAAAATCTTTAAATTAAATAAATAAATAGATAAATATAAAGCTAATATAATAAATAGGTTAAAAGTGAAAGGATGGAAATAGAGAAACTATGCTAACACTAGCCAAAGGAAAATGAGATTAACTACTTTAAAATAAAACAAAATAAATTTCAAACCAAAGACTATTACCAGGAATCAAAAGGTCATTTTATCACTATAAAGATAAAAGGGGTCAATTCATCAAGTGGAAATAACAGTCTTAAACATTTATGAACATAATAATAGTGCTTCAAAATACATGAAGTTAAAATTGATAGAACTGCACAAAGAAATAGATGAATCCAAAATTATAGTCGGAGATTTTAACACTCCTCTTTCAATAATTGCTAGACCATGTATGCAGAAAATCAGTATGGATATAGAAAATTTGAATAACACTATTAATTACTTGATCTGATTGACATTTAGAGAACACCCAACAATAGCAGAATACACATTCTTCTCAAGTGCACAGAGAACTATTTTCAGCCATAGACTTAATAAAATTCAATAGGATTCAAGTCATACAACCTATGTTCTCTGACCACAGAAAAATTAAATTAAAAATCAACAACTAAAAGATCCTTGGAAAGTCCCCAACAATTTGGAAACTAAACAACACCCTTCCATATAACTGGCAGATTGAAGAAGACATCAAAAGAGAAATTGAAAAGTATTTTGAACTGAATGAAAATGAAAACAACATATCAGAATCTGTAGATGCCATTAAAGTAGTACTTAAGGGAAAACTTACAGCACTGAATGTCTGTATTAGAAAAAAAGAAAGGTCTCAAATCAGTGATCTCAACTTCTACCTTACAAACCTAGAAAAGAAAGAGCAAAGCAAATGTAAAGCAGAATAAAGGTAGTAATAAAGACCAAGGCAGGAACCAATGAAATAGAAAAGAAGAAAACAATAGAGAGAATCAAATAAAACAAAGGCTGGTTTTTTTCAGAAAATCAATAAAATGGACTAAGCTTTAGGTAGACTAATCAGGAAAAAAAGAGAAAAGACAAATTATCAATATCAGAAATACAGAGTTGACATCACCACATATTCTACAGGTATTAAGGATAAAAGTAGGTCTTTTTATAGTTCATAAGTGTGATGATTGAGTATTCACACTATTTTGTGACATGTGCCTCCTTCAAACCTTGTTACGACTACAACATATTACCCATCTGACATGAAAAAAAAAACAGGAAAAAAAAGATAAAAATAAGATTATTGTGAATAGGGTGCCTGGGTGGCTCAGATGGTTAAGCGTCTGCCTTCGGTCAGGTCATGATCCCAGGGTCCTGGGATCGAGTCCCGCATCGGGCTCCCTGCTCCTTGGGAGCCTGCTTCTCCCTCTGCCTCTCTCTCTCTCTCTCTCTCTCTCTCTCTCTGTCTCTCATGAATAAATAAATAAAATCTTTAAAAAAAGATTATTATGAATAATAATAACTTTATGCCAATAAATTTCACAACATAGATAAAATGGACAAACTCCTTGAAAGACATGAATTACCCCAGCTCACACAAGAATAGATAACCTAAAAAGCCCTATATCTATTAAAGAAGCTGAAATTGTACTTAAAAACCTTCCCACACAGAAAATCCCAGGCCCACATAGCTAGAAGAAATAATACTAACTCTCTAGAAATTAGTATTTGTACTAATTCTATAGAAGGAAGAAATAATACTAATTCCGCACCAAATTTTCCAAAAAAATTGAAGAAGAGGGAGTACTTCCCAACTCATTCTATAAGGCCAGCGTTACCCTAACTCCAAACCCAGACAAAGATATTACAAGAAACAAAACTATAGACTAATATCTCTTGTGTATATAGAGGCAAAAAAATCTAAACAAAACTTTAACAAATTGAATTTAATGGCATAAAAAAGGATAACACAACATGACCAAGTGGGGTGGATTCATCCCAAAATTGCAGAATTCGTTTAAAGTTCGAAAATCAAACAGTAATTCACCATATTAGCAAACCAAAGGAGAAAAGCCATATAATCATCTCAATAGAGACAAACGCTGCATTCGACAAAATCTAATATTTATTACTAATAAAAATTTTTGGCAAGCTAGGAATATGAAGGAACTTCTTCAACCTGATAAAAGACATTTACAAAATACTGACAGCTAACATCATATTCAATGGTGAAAGACTGAATGCTTTCCCACTAAGATCAGAAACAAGATAGAGGGATGTCTTCTGTCACCACTTCTATTCAACATTATATATAGATACAAAAATTATAAACATAATTTCAACAAATTAAACAATATATAAAAAAGGATACTACATCATGACCAAGTGGGATTCATCCCAAGAGGGATTCAACCCTGCAAAAATCAATCAATGTAATTCAACATATTAGCCAACTAAAAAGAAAAACCAGATGAAATCATATTTCTAAAAAAGAAATAAAAGGAGTCCAGATTGGAAAGAGAGAAGAAAAATTGTCTTTTCCATAAATAACATGATTGTCTCTGTAGAAATTCCAGTGTAATATACAAAAAAATGCTACAAAAACTAATGAGTTTAGGGAGATACAAGATACAACATCAATATACAAAAATGAGTTGAATTTCTATATACTGGCAATGAACAATTGGAAACTGAAATTTTAAGATAGCATCAAAAAATATGAAAGACTTAAGGATAGATGTGACAAAATATGTGAAAGGTCTTAAACTGAAAATGACAAAACACTGCTGAGAGAAATTCAAGAGACCTAAAAGAATAGAAATGTAAGCTTTGTTCATGGGTCCGAAGACTCAATATTGTCGAGACGTCAACTCTCCCCAAAGTGATCTGTGTGTTCAATGCATTTCTAACAAAAATCCCAGCAGGTTTTTCTTTGCCCCAGAAACTGACAAAGTGAAAATCATAATGAAATGCAAAGGAACTAGAATTCCTAAAAACAACTTTGGAAAAAATACTATATGATTTTGAGAATTACTGTAAAGCTACCATAATTAAAACAGTGCAATATAAGCATAAAGATGGACAGATTAATGGAATACAATCGAGATTCCAAAAATAAAGGCACCTACCTGGCTCAGTCAGTAGGACATGTGACTCTTCATCTCAAGGTCATGAGTTTGAGCCCCACATTGGGGGTAGAGTTTACTTAGTAAAAAAAAAAAAAAAAAAAAATTTTAAGATTCCAAAAATAAAATCATGTAAATATGACTTTTGACAAAGGCACAAATGCAATCGAGTAGAGAAAGGATAGTCTTTTCAATAAGTAGTGCTTGAACAACTAGTTATTCCTTAAAAAAAAACACCTCATCTTAACATGTACAAAAATTAACTCAAAATGAATGACAAACCTAAATGCAGAACTTCAATCTATAAAACGTCTAAAAGAAAATACAGAAAGAAATCTTTTAAACTGGACTTCAATAATTAAAACTGCTCTTAGAAAAACACTGTTTAGAAAATGAAAAAGCACTAAAACCAGATAAAGACACCACAAAAAATGTGAATTATAGGCCAATATCTCTCATGAATATAGATGCAAAAATCCTCAACAAAATATTAGCAAACCGAATCCAACAATACATTTAAAAAAATCATATACCACAATCAAGTGGGATTTATTCCCAGGATGCAAGTGTGGTTCAATATCCACAAAACAATTTACATGATATGTCACATCAATAAGAGAAAGGATAAAAAACATATGATCATATCAATAGGTGCAGAAAAAGCATTTGACAAAGTACAGCATCCATTCATGATAAAACCCTCTGCAAAGTAGGTCTATAGGGAACAAACCTCAACACAATAAAGGCTTTGTATGAAAAAAAACACAGCCAAAATCATACTCAGTGGGGAGCAACTGAGAGCTTTTCCTCTATGGTCAGGAATAAGACAGGGATGTCCACTCTCACCACATTTATTTAATATAGTACTGGAAGTCCCAGCCACAGCAATTAGAAAACTTAAAGAAATAAAAGGCATCCAAATTGGTAAGGAAGAAGCAAAACTGTCACAACTTGCAGATGACATAATACTATATATAGAAAACCATAAAGACTCCACCAAAAAAACTACTAGAACTGATAAATGAATTCAGTAAAGCCACAGATACAAAATCAAAGTACAGAAATCAGTTGTATTCCTACAGGCTACTAATGAAGCAGCAAAAAGTGAAATTAAGAAAACAATCCCATTTATGCACCCAAAACAATAAGATAGCTAGGAATGAACTTAACCAAAGAGGAGAAAGACCTGTCCTCTGAAAACTATAAAACACAGATGAAAGAAATTCAAGATGATGCTAAGAAATGGCAAGATAGGGGTGCCTGGATGGCTCAGTCTAGTTAAGCGTCTGCCTTAGGCTCAGGTCATGATCCCAGGATCCTGGGATCGAGCCCTGCATTGAGCCCTGCATCGGGCTCCCTGCTTGGCAGGAAGCCTGCTTCTCCCTCTCCCACTCCCCCTGCTTGTGTTCCCTCTCTCGCTGTCTCTCTATCTCTCTCTCTGTAGAATAAATAAATAAAATCTTTAAAAAAAAGAAAGAAATGGCAAGACATTCCATGCTCACGGATTGGAAGAACAAATAATAGTTAAAATGTTTATACTACCCAAAGCAATCTACAGATTTAATGCAATCCCTATCAAAATAAAAAGAGCATTTTCACAGAACTAGAACAAACAATCCTGGGGTGCCTGGCTGTCTCAGTTGGTAGAGCAAACGACTCTTGATCTCAGGGTCATGAGTTTGAGCCCCACATTTCATGTAGAGGTGTAGAGATTACTTAAAAAAAAAAAAAAGGTGTAGAGTAAACAATCCTAAGATTTGTATGGAACCACAAAAGACCTTGAATAGCCAAAGCAATCTTGAAAAATAAAACTGGGGGTATCACAATTCCAGATTTCATATATTGCAAAGTAGTAATTAAAATAGTATAGTACTGGCATAAAAATAGACACACAGATCAATGGGATAGAACAAAAAAACCCAGAAATAAGCCCACAATTCTATGATCAATTAATTTTCAACAAAGGAGGAATGAATATACAATGGGAAAAAGTCTCTTTGACAAATGGTGTTGGGAAAACTGGTCAGCTATATGCAAAAGAATTAAACTAAACCACTTTCTTCCACCATATGCAATAATAAACTCAAAATGGATTAAAGACTTAAATGTGAGACCTGAAACCATAAAAATCCTTGAAGAGAGCACAGGCAGTAATCTCTCTGACATTGGCTATAGCAACTTTTTTCTAGCTATGTCTCCTGAGCAAGAGAAAGAGAAGCAAGAATAAACTATTGAAACTGCATCAAAATAAAAAGCTTCTGCATAGTGAATGAAATAATCAACAAAACTAAAAGGCAGCCTACAGAATGGGAGAAGATATTTGCAAATGACATGTCCAATAAAGGGTTAGTATCTAAAATATATAAAAAACTTATACAACTCAATACCCAAAAAACAATCCAATTAAAAAATGGGCAGAAGATATGAACAGACATTTCTCCAAAGAAGACACACAGATGGCCAACAGACACATGAAAAGATGCTCAGCGTCACTCTTCACCAGGGAAATGCAAATCAGAACCACAGTGAGATATCACCCCATACCTGTCAGAATGGCTAAAATCAAAAACTCAAGAAACAACAAGTGTGGTTGGTAAGGATGTGGAGAAAAGGAACCTTCATGCCCCGTTGGTGCAGCCACTGTGGAAAACAGTATGGATGTTTCTTAAAAAATTAAAAATAGAACCATCCTATGACCCATGTGTATACATATGCCAAAATGATCAAATTGTGCATAGCACTATGGAAACACATGGGATAATGTTGTTATAATCTGTAAGTGGAAGGTGCCTTTATAAGCATGATCAATACTCATAAATTACAAAAGAATACACAGATACATTTAAAATATTTTTTAAAAATTGCATGGCAAAAGCATAAAAAATGTCAAAAGACAAATTTGGGGAAAGCATCAGCAATATTACAGATAAAAGATTAACGTCCTTAATGTAAAAAAAGTTTACAAGCCAGTGAGAAAGTTCAACAAACCAATAGTAAAATGGGAAAAATATATGAAGTAACAACTTATAGTTAAGAAAATGTAAAGGGTTGGGGCGCCTGGGTGTCTCAGTCGTTAAGCGTCTGCCTTCAGCTCAGGGCATGGTCCCAGGGTCGTGGGATCGAGCCCCGCATCGGGTT